TTGATTTCCCGAGGTACCAAGTCTTCTTGGGGGGTTCTCTCCAGGCTGCAGAGCCCTACTACAGAAAGAATGGGAAATAGTGGAGGTTTATAAGCTCAACTCTAGTAAGCTCTTGAAGGTTTACTTACCCTAAATCCTCTTCTTCATAACAAAACTTCATTTATTCCTGATGACACGCAGAACGAACCATGTAATTCATATAGGAGTCATAGGAACAATAAAAGCTAAGTGTTTTGTATTATGTACTCAGGTAACTGATTTTGAACCATTTCACACTGTATGATTTTATTTCTTAAATTTCTGTAGTGAACTACCAAGAACTAACACTCTTAAAAGACGTTTGGCTGATTTGACCAAAGCGAGGAAAACCCGGCTTTATTTGAAGGCTTTACGAGTCATTATAACTTGAGTAACAATGAAACTATAAAACACAAGTTCTAAGAAGCTCCTGGTCTGCTCATTTTTAAGGGTCCTGTCTACCTCTGTGGTGCACACTACATGAAAGAAGAGAAAACCTGTATCCAGTATCTAAAGGAATCTGAAATGAACATAGCACTGAGAAGCTAGTTTTAGAAGAAAGGCCCTAGCAACTAAACTATTTTACCTTGGAGTAACAAAACACCAGTGAGGCTTTTGCTAGCTCTTGTTGCTTCAAGTGTAGCTCTCTTGAAGTCCAGCCATCACTGCTCTGGAGATAATCATCACCTGGGAGATTGTCAAAAATTCAGTACATGCCCAGACCTTGCTGGATCTGAGGATCCCATCATGACTCATTTATCTACAAGTCCCTTATTTCCCTCCCTTTCCTCCAAGTATCTGTGTTTTCAGCTGATTTTCTCTGCGTAGCCCCAATGTGGCTCCTCCTCTATTCAGTCATAGTTGGATCCTCTCCAGTGTTGCCTTTTAAAGTCTTTAGAAACACTAGATGACCAGAGGCTTACCCAATTATAATACATAGACTTTGTTTGGATCGTGACTTAGCAAATCAAGTACAAACAGACTCTTCAGCCAGTGGAGAAGTTTGCTCATGGAGTAATTCATAGATTCTACCAGAGATGAGTGCAAATTGCAATAATACAATAATGGCATCCAGGGCTTGGGATGAATGTCCAAGTCTTTAGAATTTAGACATAGTGCTAAAGTCAAACATCTGGAATTTGCTTTAAAATATTTCAGCAAAGAAAAGTGCATTCCTTGATGCAAATGTGACAAAATTTTGAAAACTGTGGAATATGTGCGATTGGCCATTTTATCTGCTACTTTTATATATGATAGAATTTTTGTAAAATTCATTTAATGACTAAATGAAATGCGCCAATGCCTAAAGAATGTTATAACTGTGAGAAAAAACTTCTCTAAATAAGAGCAGTTAATCACTTAATGGGACACCAGAAAATCTTTCTTCAAATCATTTTTAAAAATAAGACATATTCATTGCCCTGGGGCAATTTTAGATGGAGTTCTGGTGAACACCAGAAGACAAAGTCTTTGTGTCGCACTCTATCAGAAGAGATTATCTATTGTACATGTTGTGCTTTGTGACCAAGCCAGACCCTTGGTCTTAGCTCTGACCCCTTAGTTACGATCTAACCCTAGTCAGTATGATGCTTGAGGATGGCTGTGTTCCAGCTCCACTCACTTTTCTAGCAATCCATCACTGGTAGTTTACCTCCATGGCTGGTGGTGGCCTCTTGAAGTTACGTACTCATCCAGATCAAGTATTTATTGGGCATCCTGTGCTGATCTTATTCTTATGAGGCTCTATGCTTATACCTACAGACAAGCAGTCTTGATGGGTGTGATCACTCACAACCCTGGAAGCTGGTGTGTACTTCTTGTATGAAAGGTATTCCTTTCAACATCATATAAACCCCTTACTGGACTCAGCCCTATGTAAAGCTTGTTGGTTTTCTTTCTGCACAAAGGAGGGCCTCAGGAGAACCCCAACCCTATGTAAAGGTTGTTGGTTTTCTTTCTGCAGGGCTCTAGAGAATCCCACAAGCTACTAAACACCAAGCTCTTTTGCAACTCCAGGAGTGGTGTTTGTGGGGATGTTTTATAGTTTCTGGCTCCACCCTGCACAGACCTGAGACTAGTTCTCAAAGGCTGAGAGATGTAGCCAACACCCTCAGAAGTGGCCGCCATACTACTGCAGATGAGTCTGGGAGAGTCAGTGTCATAATGAAGTGAGTCACAGGCCCACACAAATTGCTCTGGAAACCTTCCTGTTTCAAATGCAAATGGATCCCCACAGGGGAATGTGTTTGGTCTACTAGTTGAGATGCTAAGAAATCACCTAGAGGGACTAGGGTTTCTCTTTAGACAAATGTAGACTAGGAAGAGCAGTGAGCAGACTCATGGGCTCCAGGAGGCAATGCTGGGTCCCTGGGAAGCAGAGCTGCAAAGCTCAAGGCCCTGAACTGGCCACCCCACAGGCTCATTCATCTCAGGCAGCCTTGATCTTCCATGTGCATGATCCTCTCCCTCCTCTTTACACTTCTAGCTGGTCAGCTGTTTCCCTCTGAGTCCTCTGCACTGCTCCTTGGCTCAAAGTCAGCACCAGAAAAACCTGGTGGTCAAGCTGTGGTCACCATGTCTATACCCCGTGGGCATGCATCGCCCTTCTACCCTTACCCGGTTCATTCTGCCAGGACACTTTATCATCACGTTTGACTACAGAATTGTAATTAGAATAATTTGTTTCCAAACTTTGTTGCTACTCTTCAAAAATGATCATTACTATTATAAAGTAATATATTTCAAGAGACCTGAAATGCCTCTACTATTGCAGATAAATTTTATAGGAAGCACGATGTAGTTTCATAGTCCAGAGAATTAATAAATCCTCCATAGCAAAATTTTATTTCTTTTTCTTACTTTAAAAACCTTACTCTGTTAAGGAAGAGAATTAGTGTTTTTTTTTTTTTTTTTTTTTTTTTTTTCATGCCCATGAGAGCGTATGTGTATGTGTATTTCTGGATGGTTCTGCAGAGATGAAGCCATAGAACAGTGATATTTTAGAGTCACGTATCCCAAGAGGAGGATGTGAGCCTGCAGACAGATAAGTATTTTTACTTACCTTATTAAGGAAGGAATCAGGCTATATCACAGGCAGGTCAAAGGGGATTAACAACAATGTGGCCACAGGTGAGGGTTACTGGAGACCATGCACCTCCAAGGCTCTTTCTGCCACCTCTGGGCAGCAGAGTCAACTCAAAATCTATGGGATGCAATTGGTGTAGATAAGAATATCTTTGTTTTTAGGCAAAATTATTTGTGCTCTTCTATTAGCTTTTACCACTTACAGGGTTGTAAATTAGCTCCCACAGGATCAGAATCCTGTAACTGGGAGGAGCACACTCTACAATCTGTACATCTATAGATTTCCACTGAAGTACAGATATTTGTACCCAACTGTGCAGTCTCCCCAAGCTCACCCCCACCTTGGGACTTCTTGTTAGCAAGCGAGAAGCTCAGGTTAGCTTCAGCCTCTTTCCAGAATTTCCTGTCATCCTGCCTTGCCAGCTACATCCTCTTTCTCTCATCCTCCAATTCTGATACCCATCAGTCCCTAATAAATTTTCACCTCCTCCAAGAAGCCATGTTCTCCTTCGTCCACTCTCTAGGAATTATTGACCTCGCTTGGTAAGAATTCCCCTCAGTACTCTTTCGTGCCTTTCCTGTGTATGGATGGACAGCATATATGGTGTGTCTACACAGTTCTCAAGCAACAAATCACTTGGAGAACGTGGTAGTGTTGCAGGCAGCTGAGTTAGTTAGAAATATTATAGACAGTGAGACAGGGCTGGGTCCTCAAAGGAGCCAGTGCAGAAGCCCAGATACCTTGCAACTGTCGGGGAGACAGATACCACCTGCTGTGGGCCAGGCCTCAAAGCAAAAGATTAAACAAATGCATCCATATCCTAAGGACTGATACTCCAAATAGTTCTTTGTCACCCTGAGGAAGTCAGGAGTCACCATCCCATCCCTCTAGGGAAGAGTCACTGCTCTCTAAGAATGCCTGCTTTCTACCTGACTCACTTTCCCATTTGTCCCCAATTTAATCAATTTTACCTGAACTATTTAATCTTATTGGCTATCTATAGTTCTGTCCCACCTTATGCCCATCTGCCTTGTGAGTTCCCAGTTTTCCCAACCTTGAACTCATCTCACCCTGTGATTTTACTCTATAAATAAAGTCCCTGGAAAAGAGAGTCCTTAGCAACCTGCTTGGGACTCTCTCTCTCTTGGAAAGAAGCTTTCTTTCTCTCAATAAATATATTCTATTCTTAACCTCTTATTGTTCTTAAAATTCATTCTTCAATTTTAGAGAACATGAACTCGTGGACATAGTACGTTGGGAGTTTCATTCATCCTATATCAGTAGGACACAGGCGCCCCTCCATCTTCTGCATCAGGAGATCTGAGGTTCTCTGGCTTTGCTCGCCTACACATTCCTGCATAATGCTGGCACCTTTAAGAGCCACACTTCAAAAAGCACTACCCATAAAACAGAAAGCTGAGTGGAGGTAGTGAGCTGTACAGGAATCAGAGTCTGAAGGAGCAGAAACAAGGAAAAGTGGATTGGTTCACTTCGCAGTGGTTAAAATGGAAGGGACTTTCTTATCCACCTCCAGTTGACAGGTCACCATTTGGGATGCTTCTAGAATGAACCAGAAGGCAGTGCAAGAGCAAATTCATGCTATGCTAATGTACACAGTCAGCCAGCTGTGCTAACAGTCTCCATTCTGAGGCAGAAACATAAACCAAAAGTGGCACAGTAGAAAAGTGTAGCTCAGTGGCCCCAGAGCCCTGTGAGAGCAAGTGTTTCACATTGTGCAACCTCCCTCCACCTGCCACTGCAGAAATGCAAGACTGTGACTGCTGTAACCAGGAAAAGGCCTCAGATGTTACAAGGTAGCATTCTTCCCAGTGCCTCCATTTCTGTTTATACCATGAAGAACCCAAAATCTGACACAAATACTGTCACATACAACAGGTGTGATTTTAAAAAGGTGATTTTAATTTAAATGTATATAAATTATATACTATTATATTTCGTATATTACAATAGTGTGTGCTTTACATTTGATAAAGGACACAGTCCGCATTACCATCTCCGTCCCCCTCTCTTTTTTTTTTTTATGAAATTTTTTTTTAATTTGAGGAGAAAAGAAAAAAAAAACCACAAAAACAGTGAAAGGGTACAAGTTATACAGATTTACAGAAGAAAAAAATGAACAGTAGGAAATCATTAGTTAATGGATTACATATTGCCATCTTAGAAATAATTGTTCATGTCACCAAATTAAAGCTTGTAGAGTGGACATTCCAAAAATGATACTGCAAACAGTTCTGTTCAATGATCCAATAAAACTCTGTGATATCATTTTCTATCTTATACACTTAAGTATACATGCAGTTATATAGTTTAGAGCACTTTCTTTTCCTCTCTTTTGTACAATGACTATTACACATTTTGGGTTTCATTGCTCCCACGATTCTTATTGCTTTTTTGGAAGAGAGTAAAACCAAATGAGACATAACAGAACAGAATCGGTCAAGTCAAAAGGGTGGACATAATAGATAATATAAAAACATAATACAAGGTGATCAACAATGGTTACCATAATGCCTCCCACTATCTCTAATAGAATTGCCTATATCATTAGTTATAATACAATTGAACAAAACAGTAAAGAACAAAACCGACAAAACCAAAACATTGGAGACATTGTAGGTCTTCAAAAGTAGATAAAAGTCAACGAGAATGGGCGTTATAATGAATCTCATTATCTTCACAGCTGATGCCTAAACTTTCGAACCTGATACTATCCAGCAAAACAGAATAGGGGAACATCAGTCAAAAACAAGATGGTGAGAGTAATACAGGGCTTCAAATCGAGATAATAGAAAGTCAAAGTGGGTTACTATATTATATCCTGCTATTTTTTCCCTTTAATTAAACGGATAAAAATAAAAAAGTAAATAATGGAGTGGAGATTGAGATAAAAGAGGGCATAACAGCAAAACAGCGCAGATCAAAACATAACCATTTAAGCAGAATAGTGTTTCACCACCAGATAATTCCGACCCAAGAGTAGTTACCATATTGACTCTTTCCTTGAAGTCCTTGAGTACAACTTCGTATACTATAGCATTAAGTATATCAAAACAATGTAAAACCATTTAAGAGAATGACAGCATTACAGAGTATTTAGAATCGACTAACAGAAAATGAACAATGGTTTCTGTATAATCTCCTTGTCTTTAAAAGGTTTTTGCTTATACTATCGTACATAATAAAATCCAATAAGATACAACCTGTTTAGACCATTGGAGACAGAAGAACAAAAGCTAGATGAGACTTCAAAACAAGATGATACTAAATCAGTATTACCTATTAAGATGTCCCCCTCTCACTTCAAACATATTTATCTCATTGCATGTGCCACTTCCTGCAGTAGCTCTGGAGTCCTCTTTCCTGGGTATTTTCAGTTGTGCTGTGTGGTTGCCTCGATGTCCTGAATCAGATAAAAGCATTGACCTTTCATGATCATTTTAACTTTGTGGAAGAGCCAGAAAACACATGACATCAGATCTGGTGAAGGAACCGGACAAGGACACACTGTAATGTTTTTACAGAAATTGCTGTAAACGGCAATATAATCATTAATGTGGCTTGGTCACTGATCATAATATATAGCGAATGTTTATACTTTAAAATACATCACAATAAAAAAACACATTGCCATTAACCTCCCTTAAAATACTTCCCTTCTATTTGAATATATTTATCACATGATTCTTGGCAGTGTATATTTTATTGTAATAATTTTTTTAAATTTAGGCACTCACTGTACATTTAGATCACCTATTATATATCTTACAAACATTCAATATCAAATTTTGAAGGAATGGAAACTATTCATATTATTATCAACGTACACTTACAATGTGTGTGTATTTTAATTAACCACATTTTAGATTTTCATAATAATTATGATTATCTCTTTGCTAGTGCAGGTAACCCTTACTGGGACGATAAAGAATAAGCAGACCTCTGAGGAGAGCTCTTATTTTATCTAAAACTCATAGTTCTTTTTGGGGTGGGAGACAAATTAGTATGTATGATGATTTTCAAAATACGAAAGCACAAAAATCTATTTAAAAATAATAAAAGTTGATATATCTAATAATAGCTGGATAGATATATATTTCACATCCTGAATAACAAGTAATATTTACTTTGGGAAGCTATACAACTTGATAGCATAAAAATTATATCTACTATTTTTCAAATCAATTTTTAAAACATCCTAAAGAAAATACATTAAAAGTACAACTGAAAAATACAAATTTAGTCTTGAGAGTCAAATTCTGTAGTGATTCATTTAAAGTCCTTGAACAAATAGTTAAAGCTCTGTTTTTACCAAATATACCCTCTGTTTAACCATAATACTTGAACAGGTACTCAGCACGCTCTCTACAGACTCCACCACTAGAGTATACAATGTCCATATTATAAATGAAATTTACTTTGACTTATTCATGACAAGCTAATGCACATTTTCTATATAGTCACTGAGGTGGATTCTCAGTGAGGAAAACACTTGCATAGTTGGTAGGGTAACTCTAGGCGTCCTTGAATAAATGCTGTCATGTTAATGGCATTCACAGCATACAGTTTTGCTAGCTAAAGAGGCATCACTCTGTCAGTAATAAGCTACTTTGCATGCAATTATCTTCTTCCTTTACCACATGGCTTTACATCACACCTTTCTTTCAGTCACAGATTATCTGTGTTAATTGCAGCTTAATCCAATTGACACAAATATGACTTTGAGAGAGGGTGTTTTAAGTGGAGCCCCATGGGGCTGAAAGAGTAAGCAGAGAAAGACACACTGCGAAGATGTCTGGCCCGCATTTTCTCTGTAATGGAGGAGAGTTACCGGGATCAAGAGAAGCACACTAACTCGGGATACAATGTACTAAAGTGCACGAGTAAAAGAATATTAAATATTTTAGCTAGATACAGGATACAGCAGACCTTTCTTAAAACAGACCATAAAGGTTGCTGGATGCATGATGTGGTTAAGGGATCACTTATTCTTCCCTAATATCTACTAGATCTAGCTTTTTCAGTGTGGGCACTGTAGTCCTTTGAAGCTTGATAATGCTTTGTTGTAGGGCTGGCCTGTGTGTTGCAGGAGCATCCTTGGCCTCAGCCTTCAGGATTCCAGTGGCACACACTCCATTTGACAACCACAGTATTTCTAGACATTGCCGAACAGCTCCTTGGGTTAGAGTTGCCAGAACTAACAAGTACATCCAGGTAAATTTGAGTATTAGGTAAACATCGAACATGTTTTTGGTATAACATGCAACATTTAGTATAGACTTATATATGTTTATCTGAAATTCAAATTTAACTTGGATTCTTGTATATCTGGAAACACTACCAGGATGGGTAGTACAAAAGCACCCCTGGCTGGAGGAAACCTCTGTCCTGGATGCATCAGTAAGTTAAGAGCAGGGCACCAAGAGACTGATCTGCTTGACTGCCATCTCATCTGATCCTCTTGGCCCGCTCAGGAAGCTACTTCCTCACAGGACACATGCGAAATTGAAAAGAATACATATAAAAAGTGCTTAGCACAATGCCTGACACAGCAAACAACTGATACACTTCTTATTTAATGATCTCTCATTATTTACTAGTCTGTTTCTTTAGCATTATAAAACTATTATGGAACTAACAGGAATCCTGCTGTAATTCTCAGTCTTGTGAGCTATACACTGATGTCACCATAGTTGTATCCTAGTGGATATCTATGTCCTAGGGGAAAAAAGAAAAAAATCCAAATTTCATTGTTATGGATGTAGTATAAACACTGGGATTTGAGAAAGTTTGACAGGTGACCTAAATATGTACCCAAGGCTGAAAAACATCCTTGCAGAGAACAGTATCACATAATAATTGATACTCTAATGATGAAGAGAGGGTAAGCTTAGTGTAACTCCATCTGATGTTTGAGTGGTAGAAAAATGGGTTGGGTCCAATTTAGAAAAAATTATTTCTTCTTTCATTCACTCAACAAATACAATGTTTGAGTGCTTACTGTATCCCAGGCCAGGCTCTCAACCTGAAGGAGAGTCCCTGTCTTCACTGAATGATAGCAGGTCGAGGCAGAGACTAAATCCACAAGATAGTTGAACCCAATTTCAAAGACTAGAATGAAGGCTTGCATGAGAAACAATAGCACCTAAGATATCCACGTCTGGCTAAGAGAGTCATGAATACTCTAAATGAGAGGAAACCAATGGGATCTGGAGAGATGGTTTCTCAGCTTAGCTCTTCACAGAAACAGCAGCAGGAAGGGAATATCACCAGGGCCAGGAGGCCGCAGCGGAAAAGGGGCCATAAAACTATGAAGAAGAGAGTTCAAAACGCCATTTTACAAACTGCAGTTTTGTGCTTACAGAAGAACCAAGCTCGCTTCCTAGGATCATTCATTCTGTGCAATGAGAAGTCCTAGGGTAAAGGAAGGAGAAAAGAACAAGAATCGGCAAGATGCTCTTTCCAGGAAGTTGCGTGTTGCTTCACAGATTAAAAAGCAGTTAAGCTGAATGACAATCGCACTTGTTTTTCTCCATTAAGAAGAATGAACTATTAAGACGTACACAATAAGCACTTTGAAGTGTAAACTTGTGGATTAAGGCAGTTGCAGATATGGTGAAAGTCACATCTACTTCACGTGAATTGAAACCTTTTGGTCTAGAAGAATTTTCATTTGTCATTGCAGAAACGTTGGTTATAATCTTAGCAGAAACATAGTATATTTATGAAAAGTACACTTTACCCAGTGGTAAACTCCACAACATATATAAAAGGGCTTAAATACAACGTAAATTTATGTTTAAATCTAAAATTGGAAATTTCGAGTGGTGAGTTGTTTCCTTTGCCAAGTATAGAGAACACTTCTTGGTCTAGGAAGTTTATATTTGTAATCCCAGGGAAGATTTATTGGAATTCCTGTAATTAATCCCAATCTACCACTTCCAGTACACCCCTTGGCAAGAATAGACACTGAGGCATATTTGTAGTCACGGGGAGCCAGGGGGTCCTGAGTCTGGCCAGGATGAAGGTTCACTGGAACAATGGCGTCAACTCAACTCAGATTTTAATGATTGGTGAAGGGAGTTGGCTTGAAGATGAGTATGAGAATAGTGGGAAAAATGTGAACACTGTAAGCTAAGGTAGGTAAGAGACCTAAAATCGCCTCTGCAATATGCTGAGGGAGGATATGCAGAAAGACTAATCTGCATAATTGAGATTATGAGGTAGCCTCTAATGTTCTAGGGTCAGTGCTCAGCTCTGATGTGTAAACTTTTCTGCCCTGGCAGTCACAGCCTCTCTCTCGTTTCCAGTTGACAGCAGTGGCTTTTCATCTTGCTTGGCTCAACCGTGTTTTGGGGGCAGGGAAACAGCAACCATCTTCTAGCTTCAAAGATTACATATCAGCACCTCAGCCAGCCCTACTTATATCGCTTAGAACCAATTGAAGGGATAATGAAATGGCCCAGCCAGCTCTGTGCCTGTCAGTACATGGAGATATTCCAGGTTTAGCTAAAATGCAGATAATTATTGTTCTTTCAAGGAGAGTCGCCCAGATGGCCCTCCACAAGGGATCCAAGTTCTATCTCAGAGGCCCGTCATCTTTGATATATGGCTTTTCAGGACACCATGCTCATATGCCACGAGGCTATGAGAAGGAAAGAGCAAGGAAGCTCACCAATTAGAGCCCTTCGGGGTGGGCTTAGAAATAGTATCCATCACTTCTGCAACCCTTCTACAGGGAAGACACCAGTCTTTTAGACATCCTTGACCAAAAAGAAGACTGAAAAATATACTGTCCCTATGTTCCCAGGAAAAAGAGTCAGACTTGGTGGCAACTGAACATTTTTTGGCTACTTGGTGAAGATCTTCCAGAAAACTGCTAGATGAATAAGTCAAAACAAAAGCCAAAACAAAATAGAGTTGAAATGGAGTTGAAGTATACAGAAAGAGTATAGGCTTGAAGTTATTTGGGAGGGGAAAATAGTGAACACGTGAGTCTATCTCATCATCTTAAAAAGGCCTTTAACAAATATGTGGCATTGTGGATAACTGAGAGCTGGGAAATGGTACCATGTAATGACTTCATTCTGTAGGTGAACGTGTCTAGTCAGTAGAAATCATTACCCACCTTGAAGGTATTCTCTGGATGATACTACAAGCCTTCTTTGCCTGTGTCTCATTAAATATTTTTGTGAATAACTTGAATTATTAAGGCAAATTTGTGATTGGCAAGTAAGAATAGACAGTGAGACACACTATGGATTAATGATTCAAGTGTTGTTTCAAAACAGTCTCACCAGTCTAGAACAAGTCAATAGAATTTTTCTGATAACAGCCGTGAAGCTCACTTCATGGTATTTTAGGCTGCTCAAACCAAGGCCTGTCACAACTGTACAGCCCCAAAGCAGACGTAGACAGTACACACATAAACAAAAGGACACAACTATGATACAGAATTTACAAAAACAGATAGCAGCCCT